CGAAGAGTCGGACACGACAACAACTGAACAACAACAACATATCCCATATATACTCATGTATCAGCCCATCCATGGATAAGCTGATCCTCAAATTTTTAATCAAAATGGCACAAAAAATGGATAAACCATGGATTACCCACAGGTAAGTCAACTGTGAAAATTAAAGCATACAAACACTTTGAGGGTCAACTTATGCATAGGTCACACATTTTTATGGTATTTGGGTTAAAAAAATCAAGGGTTGGTTTATCCACAGATGGGCTTATCCATAAGTATATGCAATATTCCTTTTTGAAGATGAAAATATCTTTAGAAGAACCGGAGAACAAAGAGGCCTTCAAAGAGAAAAACTCAGACTGCAAAAGTCTTGTGCTCAGCAGCACCAATGAATCAACTCACACTGGACACTGATCATCAGATTGTCAGAGTTGGTACTTCCAATCCAGTTATTAACATTGCATGTGTAACTGCCAGAGTCCGTTTCTTTTAAATCACTGAAGCTCTTCTTGGGCTGGATCTGCGAATCCCATGCTATACCATCCTTAAACCACTGATAAGAAATCACATCCGGATTACTGCTGTTAACTGCACATTCCAGAGACAGGTTGTCTCCCTCTCGGACTGTGGCTCCAGGGATAGCTTTCAGTCTAACGCCTTTGGGAGCATCTAAAATAAACAAGACTCAGGATTAAAACAAAATAAAAATGCTTAAGCAAAAGACTGACACAACTAAGATTAAATTCTCTGGAATTCAAATTAGGGTCTTCACAATGGTAGTTATCTCAATTCCAGTCTCCCAGAGATTCCCAGAGTCACTGATGAGTGGCACCTCTTTAAACATTGATTAAATAAAAAGAATAACAAATTGTCTTCAGCAAAAATAGCTAACCTTCTGCTTTTTTAATCTGCAGAATGTGTTTAGCCTTGTGCCTAGTTTCCTTCATTCTTCCACAGATGAAGGAAATTGCTCTATGAAAAATCAAAATATCAAGTCATATAGCTTAGGATTCTCCACATCCATTAGTCTGACACACACAACACACTTAATTTGGATATTGTATTAACCCATTTTTCTGGATTCACACAATACATTGGATCTAAACGATGGCTTGAGTTTGATCAATACAGCAGGCCTCTCTCCTGCCCAGGCTATAACTAACTGGGATTAAAACCAACCAAACTAGTTTGCTTGATTTCTAAATGCAACTCCTGGATTTTTACATAATTTGGTTGTGTGTTGTGTGTACACAGCCACTGTGTGGAAGCTATAGCCCTTCCCCTGAAATTCTAGAAAGCAGAGACATGAATAGTTGAAGGTCATGATTGCTAAAAGCCTTCATTTTACACATGCACATTCTTCTGTGTACCAAAGCCAACAGCTTGAATTGTCTGCCCAATTCCTCCAAATGGTATTCATATTAGGCAAAATGTTCTTTCCATATTGCATCACCACCAGGGATGTCCTCAGGATGTGGTCAATGTATGATGCACTTAAAACTGGGTGAAGCTTTGATCACACCATTGGTGCCACCATCTTGACTATTTTGATTATATCTTATGGATACCCCTGATCACTGCATCAGCTTCCATCCCATTGTAAACTCACATTGCACATTCAGTTCTGTAAATTTTTTCTCTATTTCTCTCCCATCGTGGGTTTTCAGCAAGCATGTCAGTTGTTTCCTGTGGTCTTGCCAAGTGGGCTTTAAAGACAGCTCAGTCTGTATTCCTTGGTTTTCACTGGTCATTTCTTGGAACAACAAACGATGACGTTCTAATCCTTGGATAGTCAACGTTACGGGCTCATAAAAGCAACTGTAAGGTACTGAGCAGGTCACTTTATTCATTATGTTTTCTCTCATTTCTGGAGACACAAGTTTTATCAGTTCTAAAGGGGATTCTGCAATCAGATAATAGATGGAAGAAAGTATTTTATGGAGAAGATGCTGAATAAAGTTGAATTGCTTTTTAAATAAAAACTTTATTAATTTAGAAATCCACCATATTCATACCAGTATTTTATCATGTTCTCGGACTAAACTTTAGAGAGAGAAAAGCAACCCCCCCTCCCCTTACATTTAATATATATTTAATAAGTGACCCCCCACTACCACATTAAACATTATAATTCAGCAGAAATGTCTGAAGGGATTATAGATTTTGCATCCAAAGTAATTTGGGGAGGGACACAGTGGCACTGAGGCCTCAGGTTGTGCATCTCTTGACTGTAAAGATGTAAGGGTAATAAATCAAAACATAACTGTGGTTACGTCAAATAGTCACAGGTAAGGAGGAAGGCATGTTTCTGAATAATCTTTCATCTCCACCTGAGAGACTATGACCAACCCATTGAACACATCCTTCTGCTGAACGAGGAGAACTGGGTCTATGAAGTATCCACAGATGGAAACCACCTTTTTCTTATTGTGACCTTTGAAAGATATGTCCCAGTTAACAGCCTGGAATCATTTCTAGACTGGAAGTTGCAAGTTCAAATCTTGTTGGTGATATTTTGAAAAGGAAGGTTTTGTCCCCCCCGCCTGCCCCCCGCACATGTGTGTATAATGTATATTACGTATACAGATATTTGTATAATGTTCTCAGAAGAACTTACCATAAACTTGAATATAGACGTCTTCCAACCATCTCCCTTGCTTAAACAACTGTCCTCCTTTCCAATAAAGTCTGATCGAATACTTGCCGGAATCATTTTGGTGGAGCTGGGAAATTTTCAAACTGCAGTTTTTGTTTTTTAAATCCCCCACAAATGTCACTCGATTACTAAACTCAGGACTGGCCGAATATGCAGTCTGGTTACTGTTATATAAGAGCTTTCCACTGTAATCTTTTAGCTCAGGATCATAAAAAGGATCAAAATACCAAGCAAAGGAAACATGTTCGATAGGTCGACCTTGGTACTCCCTTTTGATGCGGCATGAAATGAACACACAAGATCCCACCCAAGCCTTTAGGGTTCCTTGTGTCACAGATAATGGCACACCTAGAGAACCTGAAAAGGGAATCAAATGATGATATTTGGTTTAGATGCATCCCCGTACCTCTCAAAACAAAATCCACTGAGAGAGCAACAAGTCACTAGTGTTTGCTTACACCCACAGTGCAAACCCTGCATTCTACCCCAGATTCTACTCACTCCTTGGAAGTGGAGAGGTGACACTATCGTACAGAAATGCCATGATCAAGCCTTAGTTTGGTTCCTCCAAGGAGGCCTTGGGTTTCCATCTTTGTCCCTGCTCTTCAGTCATGAAGTTGGAAGGAGTTTCCAAGAAGCTGTTGACAATCTCAGAGGGAGTTGCATTGCAAAGAAAACAGTGCAACAACCCCGGGGCTTGCCAATTTTGCTGTTTGAGAGAAATATCAAAATCTTGCCCCCTCTCATTCTCTGCATAAAACCCAAACTGTTCTGCCTTTCTTTGGCCTGTTGAAGGAAACCTGACCTCCATTACACAAGAGGAGATCAGGCTAATTTAGAAGTGAAGGTCTTCTTACCACCAGCTTCCACCATCAGCAGCTATCACGCTCTTGCTAATGACAGAGTCAGCTCTGAGCTGACCTTCTATTAGGTGTACAGGTAGACCTTGCTTAACCATTACCTTGTGCAGTGATCGTTCGAAGTTATGACAGTGAGAAAAAAACAGCAACAGCTTTGTAACCATTCCTCACATTTACAACCATTGCAGCATCCCTCAGCCAATGATCACTGTCGGCATACTGTACTTCACAAGCAGAGTGTATGTATGTATTTAATTTATACACCCGCCAGTCTCACAAAACCAGTGACTCTGGGCGGTATACAATGGAGCTGAAACAATTAATAAATACTTAAAATCGATTATCATTAGTAATTATTAAAAAAACATTTAAAACGATAAAAACAGAGCTAATACAAAAAAAAATAATAGACGGGGGATAATGGAGCCACCTCACTAGTTCACCCGTCCCCTGAGGTCCCCAGGCCTGCTGACATAACCAGGTCTTGAGGGACCTTCGGAAGCTCAGAAGTGAGGCCAACCTCACCTCATGGGGGAGAAGATTCCACAAATCGGGCAGAAAAGGCCCACCGCCTACGGCCTGCCAAATGTAGCTACCTACTACAACCGTGTCACTTAGTGACAGAGGTGCTGGTCCCAACTGTGGTCACTAAGTGAGGACTACCTGTACATAAGCACTAAGTCAAGGATGCACCAGACTGTAAAGTTAGATTACACAAAATTTGTCGACCATTAGCTTTTTAATTGGCTTTATATTATCAGTCAGGTCACAGTATAATTCTGTATGCTCTGTTCCATTTGATGTTCAAAAATTGATTCTAACAATTGTATAAATACGACTTTATTATTAGCTAAGTAGTCATAAGCTTATTGTATTGATTCATCACACAATGATGTTTTTTTTTCTTTTTTTGTTTGTTTTCTCTTCTTTCTTTTTTCTAATTTTACTGTTTCGTTGCCTTTAAGCATATAGTTTGTTCTGAATAGTATGATAGTATGAAACATATAAGTAGGATATTCAGCTTTTATCACCCACACTGTTTAAATCAAACTCAGTAAGAATTATAATATTTTTAAAAAGCAAGCTGTAAGTATGAATAAATTCTTGGATGTACTTCAACTATCTCCTTCTGTCCCAGATTACAGATTATTTTTGGTTTGATTTGGGATTGTTCCTATTTATTTATCACTTTTTTTTTTTTTTAGAGAGCAGGCCTTTAGAAAGGAAGGGCTAACCTTGACATGACGTTAGTCATATAATGCAAGCAACAAGCATACTTTGTGGTTGTTTTGACACTTGTGCAGCCTTGAAACCATTCGTGTGGGAGATTTTCAAGGGGAGCTACTGTTTGCAAAACGGATGTGAAATATCAATAATATTCTCAGATGCTTTTGTCTAGGCTATGGTAGAAAGATTTTGAAAAGTATTACATTTCTCTCCATGGTCCAGAAGCTGCTTCAACTGTTTATTTACATAGCAAAAGAAGACAACGACAACGACAGCGACAACGACAACGACAACCTAAAATGCTATAATTAAATTACGAAAAGATCTCAGCGTAACCCTATGGAACAAATGGAATTTATGGTTGCTGTTCACTGAAGCCTTTGAATGCAGCAGGTGAAGTCCAGAAAGTTCAAATCTACACCGACTTTCCTAGTTATAGAACAGGCTGAATTAAAAAACAAAAAACAAAAACTCATAGAAATAAAATCTTTTTCAAAGAAAACCGTACAGCAAATTAATAAAGCAGAGCAGGAAAATGCAACTGGTAAATATACTGAACATTATATCACAGGGTAAAAAGCCATTGCTTTACCTACCAGGCAATTAGGTATCCCAGGGAGTTTCAGTTCTGAACCTTGAATGTATCATTCAGTGTTATGACATCTCTAAACATTAAGGGCAGATCAATCCATTTGTTTCCAGATGACTTTCTGCCATTGCAGTCTAATGTAATCCAGACTCCCTTCTCTCCCTCGACCAAACATATTGACCCCCCTCCCCCCCCCACACGCAATTGTTCTACACACATTTACAACAGTTACCTGGAAGGACCAGCAGCCATAAGAAACACCTCATTCTGAGTTTAAGCAAATCCCAAGCCTAAGAAAAGAGAACAGAGTATGGATTGTAGGAACCACTAACTGATACGATAGGTCATTAATGAAATTTGTAACACGGGATTATAAAAATTGGAAATAGGCCAATCACTCACTGGGTGGTCCTGTTACAACTTAGTTTCCCAAATTTCTTGGCTGTTTCTGTTTTGGAGCTATTCCCTATCAATCCCATCACTCAAAAGTCGAGACGATATATGTGTATATTGGGCTAGTTTTTTCATGCCACTGAACTGAAGCTAGAAAGTAAAACCAGCGGGCCTATGCACAGTCATTACTTGCCTTGTAGATCATACAAGATCTTGCAAGACTGGAGTTCTGGAAGATGACTTGCTTCTGAAGGATCAGCTCTTCATTGGCTCAACAGCGCAGCCTGAGACAAAGGAGCAATGGCAATCCCTTCTCTGTGGCGGCCAGAAAGCTTGCTTCTCAAAGCTCTGCACATCTGTCACTGTAACTTCCCTCTTGCCACCCTTGAGTGAGCGACACACGATCTGACTGCATCCGCTGAGGTCAAGCTTGGCTTCGTTGGTCACATCTTGGTGGTTCGAGCAGTTTAAGAGCTCTTACCCACCCTGCTCAGTGGGTGCTAGAGGTTTAAAAGATGGGGCCAGCAGCAGAGAACATGATTCTTCATTGAGTGAACCTAAGGGAGTGGTTGAGCCAGCTGAGGCTATCAGGCCTCAGGCTGCCCGCATAGGTTGCCACATGAAGTGGTGAGTTCTCCTTTGCTAGAGGTCTTCGAAGAGAGGCTGGAGGGCCATTGCTCAAAGATGCTTGAGCATCTTCCTGAGCAGGGTGCTAGTTTCAACGTCCTTCAAATGAGCTTCAATTCTATTATTCTATGAATCACATTTCCACACTCCTGAGCCCAGAGCCCACTGGATGACATGATTGAAATTAATCAATCAATTGCCAGGGTGCAGCTTCCCAGTAGAGAGCCAGCTGGGTGTAGGCTTAGGCCAGAAACCAGGAGAATGTGAGTTTAGTCCCACCTGAGGCACCAAGCCAGCTGGGTGACCTTCACGAAGCCAGTCACTCTCTGTCAGCCCTAGGAAGAAGGCACTGGCAAAAATCTTCCAAAAATCTTGCTCAGAAAAGTGCAGGAACTAGTCCAGGAGTCAACACTGACTCAAAGGTGCCAGAACATAAATAATAATTTTAAAAATCCCAGTATTATGCATTGGAAAATGACACAAAAGCAGTAGACAGGTCTAGTCCTAAAACAGAAGATGGGGGGGAGGAAGGAATCCTGTTTGTTTTTTTAAAAAAACTGATAATCCAGTAATCAACATTATTCTAGGATGCAGAGTTTCCACTAAATACTACACAGAAATACTATATAGGCTCTTCCTTTCAATGCATTTCCTTTGTACAGAATATATGTTTCCCTCTGCAGATATACCAATGTCTTCACCACTTCAATCTGACCTATATAGGTTGTGTGTTTTTTCCCTCCCAATAATAAAAAGGGGTTCTTCCTCAGCTTCTGTCAACAAGTTTCTCATTCCATAGTAGAAGCCATATAACAAACATTAATGCCCTTACACCCCCCCACCCCCACTTAGCATTCTTCCTTCCTGAGGACTAGAAGCTCACATTTACCAATAAAAATGAGGAATCTGGAAAAAGCAACCATTCTGCGATGGAATTTAGAAGCAAGAAATCCCAGTGCTTTAGCCCAGAAATAAACGGTCTTACCTACTAATGACATTCAAAAGCCGTTCTCCTCTTCAGGAAGGCCTGCAAAAGATCTGGTAAATCAAGCAAGTTCCTCCAGAGAGTGAAAGAGAAACATCTGCAGCAAAAATAATTTTCTTCGGTTTAATTTGATGCGGTTCCCATATCTATTTTATGGGAAGGGCTTAAGCTGCAAAAAAGGGGGCTGGCAGTTGTTGTAATCATCCGCATTATCTGTATTAACTGCAAGATGAAAGTATCTTCAGGAAACTGCTCTTTGACAACTGCAGTCTAACAGTGAAAGTTTTCTGATTTGGTTTGTTTTGTTTTTTCCGATAGCTTAGCCTGATGATGGCAAATGACCAGACCTTGTGACAAACAGGGACCAGGCTGGAGATAGACTATGAATAGATCAGGGTTCCCCAAAGCGGTCAATATCGACCCCCAAGGGTCGAGGGGACTATCCAAGGGGTTGATCAATGGTTGGGGGTCAAAAGGGGGTCAGTAAATGTCTGAGGGTCAATAGGTGATCGATAAATGATGGAAGGTCAGGGACAATAAGATTATCGTTATCTGCTGAAAAGAAGGTTGGAAGTCATTTCTATATTTCTTTAGTTTTCCTCTTCTTTTCTTGCACTTTTTTCTTTTCTTTTGATTCATCTTTTATTATATGAACATTCTTAATAAATATTATATTTTTTTAGAAAAGATAAATGATGGAAGGTCGATTGGGGTCAATTAATCTTTTGGGGTCTCTGTAGAGCTCCATGCCAGTCCCTAATCCTGAAGGTGAGGTGGGCAGTGGCAAGACAGTGTTACCCAGGGTTAGATGGTCAGCCGCCAGTGAGTGCAGCTATTAATAAAATTAGTATTTATTAAATTATTTTCATATCATCAATGTTCGGGGGTCGATGAACAATCTGAAACTTCATGAAGGGGTCGATGAGCTGAAGAGTTTGGAGACCCTTGGAAGAGATGCACCTCCCTAGATTGCAGATAGGCAAGCTTTTTGTAACAAGAAACTGCCCTTTTTCATTTTTTTTACTTCTCAGCAGTATAAGGTTTACTGGAATGTAGCAGTGATGTCCTGAAGATATGCTATACCAATTTTGGGCATGGAGGTTCAGGGGAGCCATTTAAGGTACACTCAGTTGGTTTGAAGATTTTTCGATTCTGAAAAGCTGCTTCTGTGTGTTCTGCAGTTCTTTAAAGCAGCCATGTCTTTTCCCAGAATTCCATCAGTGAAACATTTGGCAAAAGGGTATCATTTGCCACAATTGCAATAGTGCAGTTGTGGGAAACATTATGGGGTGAGATCCATTTGCACAAGGAGTCCAGTCTAAACTGTGTACAGAGATACCTTGCTGTATCGGAAGACAGCTGAATGTCCGTTGCTGACACAGAAGAAAACTTGTCACTTGGAAGCTATTGGATACCATTCTCTTTTCTGTTGAAACTTGATCACATAAGTCAAGACGTTATCCATTATTGTTAATAATGAGGTGGCCCAAGATCTATCTTGAAATTTCTCCGAAATGCTCTTCTGGTTTTCTAATCCTCAGGTGGCCATGAGAATGTCTTTTGCATGTCTTTGCTTCTCTTTTTGAGTTTCTTTTCTTGAATGAGAGTGGCAGAGGGGGTGGAGGCTGGTGGAGTTCTGCTGACTGGCATATCTTTCCCTCAGCCTGAAGTCTAAAGTCCACTGGGAAGAATTCTCTCATGAACTTCCCCTTGCAATTGAGCAGAACCTGTAGGGAAAAAAATGCAGAAAATTGTTTCTACAAGGTACTAGATTGCTAGATTTGTACGGTTTCATCTAGAGGCCTTCAGCAGGATCTCTTTTAAGAGGAGGAGGCAGTCTGGAGGATCTGCAGCTTCTGCTCATCTGTATAACTTTCCACTAATAACAGAGGCAGTTCTGTGATATTTTTAGGCGGCTCATATGAAAGTCTTGCAGCGTCACCTCCTGCCTGACCGAGACCTAATGCAGTCAGATTTATCATTCATCGCTCTGTATTATAATGGGTCATACAAAAGCAATCCCCTTGCATTTTTTGTTTTCCATTCCATTAGACATACTAGGAAGGCAAGTCCCTTTGGACTTCTATTCTTGGTACCTTGGTCTTCCATTCACAGGCTTATTTGGAACCACCTCCATATAACCTTACTCTGATCCTAAATCATTCCAGCAAGATGTCAGCCTTCCCAGGTAGACCAGACAGGAAACACGACCAGATGAGCTAAGTCTACTTTATTGTAAGGCTCTGTTAATAGAATCTTGCAAGTCTGAAGGTACAAATCTCCCACCGTCTCCTTTACCCATGAGAATTAGGGAGGGTCCCTTCTGAGCCTCTTTCTCCGCCCATTATGCAGCTGTGGACTATGGCCTCTGTTATCTGACCATTCCCTAGGCAGCATCTCTTCCCTCCATCTCCCCAAGGTCATTCCCACATTCCATTACACAAGGGGAGGCATCCTTATATTTTCCATAAACAGCTTCAGTCCCTCAAGTCACCTGTGATAAGCCCGTGGCAACTGCAGACACAGCTGATGTCCTCTGGTGATTTTGAAGAGCAGTGGAGTGGCCTTAGGCAGAGAAAAAAAATATCTCAGGTAACCTGGATCTTCGGCATCTACTTTCCAAGGCCACCAAGGATCCATTAACTCAGAATGGCAAAGGCCTAAAATTGAAATCCTGAAGCGTAGCCCTACCATTTGATTTCTGTGTATTGCAGTGGACATGTTACCAGTCTTCTTTCTAGGTTGCAATAAAACAGTGTTTGTCAACCTTGGCAACTTTAAGAAGAAATGAAATACTGTTCATTTGGTCAATGACCAGCAAACAGCAGCTTGAAGATGAGTGGACTTCAACTCCCAGAATTCCCCAGCCAGCATGGTTGGCTGGGGAATTCTG